CTAGGATGGCTCAGATTTCACTAGTTTCATTTATAACTGCCAAGAGCGTAGTAAAATAGGTAAAGTTGGATAGAATCGTAAAAACGATATTATATTGTTAAGGTCTCTTCTCCATTGCTTGATAATGTCTAAAAGCTTGGGAGGTACTTCAATATTTATATCCGATGTCTGAGTATTTACATACTACATCTATCTATTATACTACTACATACCTCTCTAATTATAACTCACGTTGTCAGGTAAACTTCCAAGGTACAAACACCTGCAGACCCTGAAATCACTATATCCCCTTTGGTAATTATGATATAACTAACTAGGAACTATACTGTTATCAATACTAATTATCTGATTATCAGAGTCTTTAGACTTATAGCCTAGTTCTCAAGTCGAACTGAGTTAGCCTCCAATTGTCTCTGTCATTGATGAAATGATCTGTTTCATCTGCAAGTTGTATCTGTGAAGGTAGTCGCAATTGCAACCTTCCTAGGTCGTCTGACTTCAAACCTTTATAACTCTATATCCAACTAACAGATATCTTCCAGAAGACTTCCTATTAATTCACGGAAAGCTATTCTAGCAGGTTGACAGATAATCCCTCTGTTGGCAACCCTTGGTTGCTATGGATAACTCTGTGAAGTCGTTTATGTAACCTTCTTAGGTCACCAACTTCAAAGCTCAATATCTCCTGACCCAATTGATAGATTCTTATCCAGTAACTTCCCTCCTGTAGAGAAGAAGCACTTTTATAAGATAGAATCATAATCCCTTGATTGGAGGTTCTTGGTTGTCATGCAGAGAGCCTTGCAGTTACAAGTAGCATTGGTAGAAAATAACTCAATAACAGAAATAACTTTGATGTCAACAGGAGTTGAACACTTGACCTTTGGTGAAGAGTCACGTGATATTCCAATTGAGCTATATAACTGAGATTGATATGTATAATGATGTGCGGGCCCCGTAAGGGGCTGGAGGCGGGTGTTGGAGACTAGAGATTCCGATTCCAGGTGGGGTTATATGACTTAGAGTGGTTTCTAGGTATTGGATTCCAGTATTCCTAACAGGAACCAATATGCAATAATATTTAAATTATGCGCATCTTTACAGTCTTCCTCTATTGGCTTTTGTTTTTGAATATGAAACTCTGAATAACTTTCCAGAAAGCCCTTACTCCAGGCTTTACTGATTGTTGGTAGGGGGTTTGTGTTCATGACACTAGTGTGATTTCTTCTAAGAATATCATTTGCACATCTAGTAATCATAGGAGGACGAGCAGATATTCTAATTGTATCAAGATATTTTTAAATGCAAACAGACTGCAAGCTCAGCCATTTCTGAGAGCTTTCTATTAACTGCTGGCTGCTGTGCTCTTGTTTGCTTGCCCTTCACTCATGCATGGAGGCTCCCCTCAGGAATACTAAATTCCTGCACGATAGCAGCTATATTTGGTTTCTCACATTCTGATGCCTTCAAACATGCTTCCTCAACTCTAGCTTCTATTTTTCAGACATTTCTGGTTTTTTTTGGTGGGGTAGCGGGGGGTTTGTCGGTAGGTGGACAGTAAAATCTGTCGTTGAGCTGTCGGGCACTCTCTGGATGAGAGTGCCCAAGTTGTGAAAGCAATGGTGGGTTGTGGTGGAGCCACAACCTTGGCACGGTTAGAGGAAAGTTGGGGGTGAATTGTTGATACCCTTCTTGGGGTAGTAGCGTCGATGGATGTATTGTAAGGTAGACATCATCAACAACCAAGATGGTGAGATGGATTTTGTGATTTGGAGTGATTTTCCCTCGCCACCATAAAGTACCGGTGTCCCAAAATATCATGACCCGGCTTAGGAGATCTCAACCTAGGATGGTGCAAGTCTTGAACCGTCTCAATGGGGGGGCTTCGTCTTGTTTTTTTATATTTTACGACACATTGCTTCTGGTCTTGCGTCCGATTGATCTGCAGACCGGGGCCAATTCTTCGTTCATTCCTCGCCCGGGAACATACCGTAGCGAGTGGTTGGGATCGGATCCTTCCTTCTTCCTTTCTTTCCCTCACTCTTTCTATTGTAGTCTGCTGAGGTTTGGATTCTTTCACGCAAGCAAGCTGAATATGAGCCAAGCAGTAGAGCAGAGTAGAGCAAAGTGCCGTATGGAGAGCAGACAAGCAAGCAAGCAAGCAAGCAAGCAGGAAGACATCTGCCGGTCAACGACCAAACGGGCTGCGCATCTTGCGCTCGTTGCCGTTCACTGCGCTGCACACAAAGCTTTCCGCGGACCAAGCACCGCGTTTTTGCATGGCACGTTTATTTCATTTTGGCCCCCCCGTAGAGCCACACAATCTTCACCTTTGCCCCGCTGCTTCTTCGCCCCAGAATTTTTGTTTATTTCTTCCATACCGTCCGTGCTCATCGTGCTGCCTAGAAGATGTGCCTCTGGGCTGCGACTCCGCCCAGTCCAGTTCTGCATCGAAGCTCCAGCTCGCGAATCGTGCCAATATCGCACGAAACGAAAAAGTCGCACTTCACCTCACTTGCTCACAACCACACACATCACATATGACTGACTTGACTAATCCCCCAGTTTTGCCCCCCCACAAACGGCTGTCGACGACGACGACGGGATACTTTTGTCTTTCTACCCTTTCCGGCTATTTTGTGGTACCGGTAGTGGTGGATGTTTCAATATATATTTCCTAGCATTACTACCTTCCTCGATCGCGGCGGATGCGGGACCGTACTACTTTTATTGGAAAGTCCCATCGGCGTGCCTACAAGTTATGGGTACGAGGAAAATTGTCTAGAATGGAAAGCGTAGTCGTTAATCATGATGATGTTGTTGTTCCTGTCGATGATACCGGCATTCTGGGGATCAGTAGTCCAATCTGATTAGATTGCTGGTTTATGGACGCTACCGTATGATGGTTGAGGGAGCTGACAAAAAGAACGAAGAGGGAGAAAAAAGAAAAAGAAAAACGGACCGGCGCTGGCTCTGGTTCGGTCGGATCAAGCAGTTCTCCTCGGATGGCGGAATGTTTGCTTTTTTTCCCCTCGATAATGATAGCTGACTGCCCCTTGTTGCCTTGTGACCTGGAGAGAAGGAAAACTTGATGCACTTGCGGAATAAGCATACGACAGCACTGGAGCAGTCTATGGTAGCTGGTAGGTTACCTGTATTTCTGCCTGAACAGACTTTGGTCCAGTCTAGCCTACTCTATCCATATGATGCTTCCATCCTTACTGTACTCGTACAGTACAACACCCGAATCCTTCCTCCGGAGTCTATACCGGGGAGTCTCCTTTGCTCCTTCCCCTCTGCCCTAGTAAGCCTTTTTTTTTTTTCATCAGCTAGTTTGAAGCTCGGGGGTTTCCTTTTGGGGGGGGTTCTTCTTCTTCGGGTTGTTCACCCTGTAGAAGGGTGGTGGGCCTGGGGCCTGGGGATTGGGTTTGCCTGCCATCCCGAATTGAGGGCGGAATTGCCTTGGGAGCTAGGATAATGAGTGGGTACCTCCGTTTATTCCCTGAAGCGCTCAATTCCCATTTCTCGCACCGTATTCCACTTGAGTGTGAATTGAGATGCACAGACTGCGCTCGTACTGTAGAGTAACATCACCATATCCTGGGTCTTCTCTACTCGTATCCTATACCTCCCGCATGATCAGAAAACCCGTGCCGTATTCGTGGACAAAGAACGACGCATATCATATGGCGGAGATGGCTGCGGGACTAAGCTACAATTCTCACACTCCCACCGCCGATATACTCTGCCTGTTGTACCTATACCGGTACTGCTTACCTCTGTGACTTAGACCAGGTCGGGTAGATATATATAATATATATATTACCGGTACCAAACTCGCCTTTTCAACTTACCCCAATCTGCATTGAGCCCAAAGGAAAAAGTAAAAAAAACTCGGATTATTCCCTTTCAACCTAGTATTGCCATCAAGCTTGGCTGCATTGGTTTTGGCCCCGTTCGATATTTTGCGTTGTTGAGGATTTTTCTGTCGTGATAGGTAGGGCCTTGTCTTCATGTATACTCGAGTAAGTGCGCTCCTTATCGAGTCCTCTGGGGGAGGGGGGGGAAGGGTTATCTTTAGACGCATGGAAAAAGTACCGACACGGCGGGGCCAAGACGAGGAGTGCTTTTTTTCTTTCCCTCTTCTAGGTGCTAATGTTAATGGGACCCCGGATGGGGAGAGGAAGGGCTGTTGGGGGGGGGGCCTTAGGGTTGCCCGTACATATGTACCGGTATCGTGAGTTATATGCCGTAGGTTAGGAAGGAACGAGCAGACTTTCGGTAAGCCAGAGGCATGGGTGGGCTCCGTCACCCAAGTGACCAATGGGTACGGTACTTATTTAGTTTTGTCTCACTGTATTTCATTCGAATCCTTACATTGGAGCCAGCAGTTTTGCCGCAGCATTCTTTTACTGAAGGTGAGTTTGTTTTGACGTTTCTTCCACAGTTGTTGCGGTTTGCGTGCGTGTCTGCAAGCCTGCAAGCCTGCCTGCCTGCCTGCCTGTCTGCCCGCCCGCTGCTTCTTCTGGTGCTTGCGCCCCGGGCTTCTTCCATCTGGTTGGGTGCGCTCTGGGGTGGGCCTTGGGGAGGGAAGCATGACCAAATCATGAATTACCCTGCTTTTGACCGGACAAGGTAATTTCTCGATTGGACCATACCAAATATGGTTAGGTCACGTCACCTGGTTAGAACGTTTTGGAGCTAAAATGTGGATGTGAAGCAGAGCAACAGAGGGAAAAGGATGAAGGAGAAAGGAGCAGGCATGGTGGCAGCTCGCCCTGTGTCTGGCTGGCTGTGACTGATCAGTGCTTGTGTCTTCCGAATTATTATTACATTAGTCCTATCCTAATGCCATACCTACTTACATTTCTTACATTTATACATACTGTACCTCTTCATCTGTCCACGGTGGACTGTCTGTTGTCTCTGTTCTGCTCCCATTTCCTCTTCTCTTTCTCCTCTACTATTCAAGGAAGACAGGGAGGAAGGAAAGAAAGAAGGCCGTGAATTCACTGTTTCTGAAGGTGTGCATTTTATCCCCCTCGCCTTGCCTGTCTTCTGGATCTTGTTCTTCGTTCCTCAGTATCCACCCGTTCCTGCTACGGTACATGAGACAGTAAGCAGACAACGGGAATACAGGTACTGGAGGTTAGTCCGTCAGTAACGCTTCTTATCTAAAGTGTGTTCGCTACCCTTCGCTTGCTCGATTCCTCACCGCGCCTCCAATTATTTCCTCTCTTTCTTTGCTTTCTCTTCCCTTCTTTCCTTTCTTCTTTCTCTCCTCCTCCTCCCTCCTCCCGCTCCTCCCCGTCGTTGCGACTACACCTCTCCGCCCGCTCCCCTTCCCCCGTTGCTCTCGCTGTTTCCCTTACAACGGTACCCTATCACGCTCACGCACCGACTCGTCACCAGTGACCAGTCATCCATCATATCCTCTCTCTCCTCTCACTACTCCTCCCCTCTTCCCTCTTACCCACAATTTACCTATTCAAATAGAATAGCCCACTCGCTTCACAGCCCCACCAGCCATTCTACCCTTCCATCTTTTCTATTATACAATCATCTTCCCGCCTGCCGCGACATCTACCATTCTAAACTTGTTTCCGGTTATCTCCACTCTTTCGCTCGTCAACCGCTGCTCCGAGCCCAACGCTCCCTCTCGCCCAGTATATTCCACAAGCATCTATCTGCTCGACCAGATAGTAAGCTTCCGTCGTATGACACATAAGGTCGACGCCATCTTCTCAAACTTAGCCGCCACACCAACCTTACGGTAGCAGCTTCGAAGCTTGCTTGTTCTCGCCCAACCTCGACCTCGGATAAGGAACGATACGAGCTTATAGTTATGTCTTCACGACATCCGTCCTCGAGTGGGGGACCAACGCCGGATTCGCTGGTAGGGGATTTTAGAGTGGGCAAAGAAATTGGCAGAGGGTCTTTTGCTGTTGTGTTCAAGGGACACCATGTGGTGAGCTCCGCTCCATGCACTCCAACCCCCCCCTTCATCTTCCACACCAAGATTTCTTTTTGGGATCCTCTGCATCATCCGAGGAGCTAGGGGGAACCCTACCGTTATGGGTCTACTATAGCTGTGGTTACCCTTTGAGATGCGTCCCGACGAGCCCTCCTCATTTCATTTTACTGGTTCTTATTCGGCCCTGTGTCGGGCCTGTTTGAAACGTTGGGGGTCCGATGTCGTGACCCAATCATTGAATTGCGTGCTAACTTCTTGATTTTTTTTTTTATTCCGGTTAGAAAAATCCGAAATCACTAGCTGCTGTCAAGGTGGTACAACGAGGGAAGCTTAACCGAAAGCTTCTCGAAAACCTCGAGTCAGAAATCCAGATTCTTAAGAAACTGGATCACTCACATATTGTCGCCCTGAAGGATTGCAGCAAGAATGACAAATACATTTATATCGTCATGGAGTACTGCTCCGTCGGTGATTTGTCTGTCATAATCAAGAAGAGAGACAGACTGGAATCGCTACACCCCTCTTTGGAGCCCCTGATCAAGACCTATCCCCATGTTCCTGGAAGTGGGCTGCACGAGGTTGTCGCCAGGCATTTTATGAAGCAACTTGCCAGTGCACTTGAGTACCTAAGAAAATTCGGATTGGTTCATAGGGATGTAAAGCCACAAAACTTGTTATTAGATCCACCTGCCGGATATGATTCCAGGACCCCGGTAGCCCAAGGGGAATACGCTCCGGATGGCTCGCAGGCACTCGTCGGGCTTCCGTCACTGCCGATCCTCAAGCTTGCCGATTTTGGATTTGCTAGAAATCTACCCGCTGCCTCCTTGGCAGACACTTTATGTGGATCGCCGCTCTATATGGCGCCGGAAATTTTGAGATATGAGAAGTACGATGCTACTGCCGATTTGTGGTCTGTTGGAACTGTGCTCTATGAGATGGTAGTTGGAAAGCCACCGTTCAGGGCGCCAAACCATGTGGAGCTTTTGAGGAAAATTGAGACCAAAGGCGATACCATTGAGTTCCCTAGTTCGTGCACAGCAAGCGAGGAGATCAGAAGATTGATATGTAGTTTACTGAGGAGAAACCCCTTGGAGAGAATGTCATTCAAGGAGTTTTTCAGTCACCCTGTCATCACTGGGCCAATTCCTGGTGCCTCCATTGCCCTGGTTTCCGAGCCAATGAAGAAGGCAAGGAGTATGGATACTCCCAAAGCAAGCCCCACATCAATACAGAGGACCCCCTCTTTACGAGCACTGGGTGATGGGAGAGAGCTTGGAACCGACCGAGAAGGAAGGCGAACTCCTCAACAAACTCCTCCATCCCCACGGCTCCGACAGGCCGTAGAATCCTCCGCCCTTCCCTTTGCCCATACTAGCCCTATATCCGCAACCCCCCCTCTCAGATTAGCGGATGTTCGTAGGGCTACGACCCAAGGTGCCCAAGCACCACCGCTATCTCCATTATCAAGGCCCGCGATGGTAACTCATGCGACTGCGCCGGCCTGGCAGGAGCGCGTGGATAGCCGGAGGGCTGGAACTCCTATGGAGAGGGTGGCCAGTAGGGGCACAGACCCTTCACCCGGTAGCTCATTATTGGTTCAGCGAGAACGGGAACGGGAGCCGCAGAAGGATAGACATGCGAAGCGCAATTCGACTGCTCGCGAGATGCGTCCGCTCGAGGAGGAGCGAGTTGAGAAGGATTATGTTTTTGTGGATAAGCAGTTTGTCCAGGTCAATGCCTTTGCAGATGAGTTCGCCACTGTTAGGCGGAATGGTATGACCCCACCGTCACCTTCTTCGAGCGCTTTGTCACGTAGACCAACATCTGGGGGTCAAGGCGCCACAAATGCAATCGCTGTCACCGGCAGACGTCAGGATGGTGGATATCCAAGAAACTCGTATGAAAGACGGTATGGGCCTTCTCCTGGCTCTGCTCCTTCTCCCTCGCCGAGCTCGACTCGGTCTGCGCTTGCTAAGGCATTGGAGCTTGCCAACCTTCGTCTGTTTGGTGTTAGTATCTCACCTCCTCGTCATAGCCCACCTGGTGTGCAGTCACCATACCCCACGTACCCGAATAATCCCACTAGCATGGTTATGGTTCGCAATGAGGGTGGTCCATCGGATGACGATATGCAAGCTGTATACAACATTGAGGATGCTGCCAGCAGGAGCGATGTTGTTTACAATTTTGCTGAGGTTAAGCTTGCGCAATTGATACCTGCTGTGCCAGCGCCTGTACATGGATTAGGGTTGCTCCCTCCATCAGCAAGCGAAGGGGACCTTGGACTTCCTGTTGAGCCTGCGCCGTCGAATGAGTTCGACCTTACCCCCGATGCGGTTGTTCAACTCGCGGAGGAAGCACTCGTATTGTATGTCAAAGCTCTTGGGATACTCGCGAAGGCTATGGATATTGCTGGGGCATGGTGGAATACCTCCAACAGGCGGAATAACCAAACATCACCAGCTATGTCAGCCGCGAGCATGAGAATGAACAATTGTGTGCAGTGGGTCCGCGACCGATTCAACGAGGTTCTTGAGAAGGCAGACTTTGTTAAGTGCAAATTGATCGAGGCTCAGAAATTGCTGCCATCAAGTCACCCGAGTCACCCTAATAATCAGAATGATGATAGCGATGGATCCTTGGATGCTAGTGGTGATAGAGTTGTGGTGACGCCTGGTGTCACCGCGGAGAAATTGATGTATGACCGCGCCCTTGAAATGAGTAGGGCAGCAGCAGTCAATGAATTGGTTGGGGACGACCTTAATGGATGTGAGGTAGCTTATGTTACATCAATCCGAATGCTGGAAGCGGTCTTGGAGAACGATTCTGTCGACCAAAATGATGGAGACGTCCGCATGGAGGAAGAAGATAGAATGATAGTCGAGAGCTGTGAGTGTTGGTTTAAAGCGCTTTTGTGACTTTCCTCAAATGAACTTTGGCGCTAATTGAGTCTAGATGTCTCAAGCATCCGCAAAAGACTCGTTTCCCTCAGGAAGAAGATGTCGGAGGTTTCCAAGCGGTCATCCGGCATCCATTCAATACCAAGCTCGCCTTTACAGCCGTCCTCGTCTCCCCTGATGGGGGTCTCTCCTAAGTAAAACCCGCGAGGTCGATTCACACCAGAGCATTGCGTCCCCTGCGCAGGAATCGTGAGGGACAGAGGACATCAAATCTCTGCACAGCGCTCGCGAGTTCTCTCTTTCTATCTACTTTTTTTGCATTGCAATGTCTATTTTGGGTTCTCAGACACTTTTCTTTTTTGTACGAGATTGCCGGTTTGTCGTATTTCTTTCGGGGGTTTCATTGGAGGATATGGTCGTGCGTTTTCGGCGTTTTTATCTGCGTGTTCGTTCTTTACTCATTGACCTTCCCAGGGCCGGGATTTCAACCTTGGCCAATTAAACTGGATGAAGACTATTTTATGATTTCTCACGATCTCTGTTTCTTCATGCATCAAGCACATTTCATATAACTTCATGAATGTTTTTTTATTTATTTACTCATATATTTATATTTCTTTGGGGGGAGGGGGTTGGCTGGTTAGTAGGGTCAGGTCGGTCACGGTCTTGGTTCGGTGGCGGCGGGGCATTACGAGATGGCAAACAGGATGAGCGGCTCTGGCCTTTTTGTATTCCAAGGTTCTTATTGTGTATGATTATGGCGTCTTGTTATGCTACAAAGTCATCTTTCTTCATCGAAAGGGATCTTTCTATGTTGGTTGTGTTTTTTCCCTTTTTCCCTTGCTTTCCCGCGGATCTCGAGCTTTACGGGGATGTCAGGGGGATGATGGTGGGAAGGGGCTGTGTTCATGGTCATTTGATGCGGCGCACTTTGGGCGAGGGCAGTTGATCATCCAACTCACGCCTTGTGGTTTTTGTACTTACTCTTCTGTACTGTACAGCAGTTACATTCCCAGCAGATTGGCGGCTTTTACTCTTTCTGGATCATGTATTCTAAATCCCTGGTTTCTGGGTTCTTTTTCATTCATTTGTTCTCATCTATTATTTATTTACTTCCTTCCATTTTCTCGGATCTCTGTGTGTCTTTCTGCTTTTGGTGTTTCATCCGTTCGGGATAGGCATCGGGTCGTTGGCGCATCGGTTTTTCCTTATTCCCTTTGCTTAGTCTTATTCACTCTCTGCTGTTCATTCGTAACTACGCACTTTATGTTTTTTTTTACATTTTTTTCTTTTCACAGGTCTTTCTCTGAGAAAAGGGAAAAGAGAAAAAAGAAAGAAAAAGGACGGTGTTCGGGAGATTGGGGATCATTGCGACATGGTGTTTGGAAAGTTTTGTTATATAATATCATGTTATTATTCCTTTTCCCTTTTTGTTGTCTTCCGTATTTTCATCTCTTGTTATTGATAATTCTTATTGGATGGAATTCGTGACCCATCACTTGGAGTTCAATACCTAAATTACCTACGAGTACTGTATCATGATACCAAGCGAAGTGAAGTTTGATACTGTGCAGCTAACACTGCCGGATTAGACTAAACAATCCACCTTTGTTCCCACATCCTTCCAAACATCCCTCCACACATCACATTCCCTCACCGCTCTCCTCTCCACACTACGAACGGACAAACTATGGCAACCTCTGCCGACTTCATAAGACTCGCCCAAACCCTCCCACCGCGACTAACCCGGTTCTTCGCCCGTTACCCCCCCAACACTGCCAACGACCTCGTCAAGAACCCGTTCAAGCCGACCATCCACCCAGTCACCAAGAAATGGCATAACCCCGTGTACTCGCTGCGCCGGCAGAAGGAATTAGTGCTGCTCGCGAGAGACCATGGTGTAGAGGATTTGTTGCCGCCGACGGTCAAGAAGACGGCGGTGAGGGAGAAGAGGGCCCTCGAGGGGCCAAAGATGAAGAAGATGATGTCACCGAAAGGGAGGGGGTGGGAGAGGACGCTCAAGGGGAGGTATGTATCCTTTTTCCATAGCAGGTTAGGAAAGGTGGAGAGGGGAGGCTAATTAAAACGGTGTACAGGTTGGAAATTCGGGAGAAGGCGATGCGTGGGATGCCGAATCTTATCGAGAGGTGGAGGAAAGCTGGACATGGAAGGGGATGGACAGAGTGGCCGAGGTAGACACGGATATATGGGTTGTGGGATGGTGTTGTACTTTAGAGGTGAAATTGGATATATACTCTCCTTTCCTGCGGGTAAATCGACCTTCCTTCTGGCAATTGGCGCAGGTGCTTTTCTCGTATCATAGAATTTATTTTTTCTTGTCGCGATACCGGTAGTAGTGATACAAGTATTATGATACGGGATTTGGAGGCTCTGCTGCCTGCCGTGATCGACGACGTCAACTCACCCGGCCAACCGGCGGCTCTCATGTTCCACACACCGAACAACAACCTGAAAAGCGCGGCTAGAGAATTCTCCAGCCTCTTCCACCTTCCTGCTAGATCAACCAGAACTCACAGCAATGGATAACTACCCCCTCGAAGCTCCCCCTCCCCCTCCGTCATCGCCGCCACCTCCGCCCCCTCCAGATTCCACGGTACCTCCTCCACCGCCAACTGAAGAACCTCCTCCACCACCACCCGTTGAACTACCTCCCCCACCCCCGCCGAAAGTTAAGCCAAAACCAACCCCTACCCGAGGTCCTCTATCTATCGAAGAGATACTAAAGAAGAAGAAAGAGGCGGATGAAGCTGCTAAAAGGGTTTATACTTTTCTCGCCCCTTGAATAAATACAAAGAGTTATGCTAACCTGCCTAGCCCAAATTCCTGCCAAAAGTAGAACGAGAAAAGATCGCGCTAGAAAAACGCCAGAAGGAGGTCGAAGACCGGCGGAAACGCGAAGAGACGGAACGGCGTGGTTGGTTGGAGGCTCAGAGTAATGGAGCCCGCGGCGGCGGTGGTAGCGGCAGCAGCGGTGGTGGCGCAGGTGGTGCACGAAGAGGAGGTGGAGGTGGAGGACCACCGACTGGCCCAAGAGGGCAACGTGAGCCCCCGACTGGGCCTGCCGCTATGAGGAATCAGCAAGGATTTCAGAGGGGTGGTGGTGGGAATAGAGGTCGGGGAGGAGATGGTGATATGGCGCCTCCGCCGCCACCGCCCGGAGAGAAGGGTGGTGATAAGAAGAAGGTCTCACTGGAAGCTGCTGGCGCTGCAGAGATTAGAAAGAGATACATGGGTATCGACCCGGACTCGAGTGCCCAAGCGAGCAAGAAAAAGCGGAGGAAGACGTCCGAGCGGAAGTTCACGTTCGAATGGGGGGCCGAGGAGGATACTTCTCCGGATTACAACCCTCTATACAACAATCGCGCTAAGGCGCACTTCTTCGGTCGCGGACGTCTAGGCGGGTTCGCGGAGACGGAGAAACCCACGGAGGGGTATGTGAAGGCCCTCGAGGCGCGTGGGGAGGACGAGAGGAGGAGAGCCAGGGAGATTCTGGAAATGGAGAGGAAGAAGAGGGAGGGTGCTAATTGGGTTGACAAGCATTGGTCTGAAAAGCCGCTTGAGGTGATGAAGGAGAGAGATTGGCGTATTTTTAAGGAGGACTTTAATATTGCTACGAGGGGAGGGGCGATTCCTAATCCTATGCGGTCCTGGCAGGAATCTGGGTTGCCAGAGAGACTACTTAGGATTGTTGGTGAGGTCGGGTATAAAGAGCCATCTGCAGTCCAGCGGGCTGCTATTCCCATTGCTCTCCAGAACAGAGATCTTATCGGTGTGGCTGTCACTGGTTCTGGCAAAACGGCCTCGTTCATTTTACCGCTACTCGTATACATTTCTGAGCTGCCGTCTCTAAGCGAAATGACCAAGAATGACGGACCATACGCTATTGTACTCGCGCCCACTCGTGAGCTGGCGCAGCAGATTGAGGTGGAGGCGAAGAAGTTTGCTACTCCTCTGGGGTTTACTTGTGTTAGTATTGTTGGTGGACATACTATTGAAGAACAGGCTTACAACCTCAGAGATGGCGCAGAAATAATTATTGCTACGCCCGGCAGATTGGTGGACTGTCTTGAGCGGAGGTTGTTGGTTCTTAGTCAGTGCTGTTATGTCATTATGGTATGCTCTACGTCTATATCTCTTC